AAATCCTTGTAATATAAGGAGAATATCAACATCTTCTCAGCCACGTGCCGTACTATACCTACCATTCCTTTCCTTTGTTTCTCGGTCATCGTTCCTCTCCTCCCAAGTTTTTATTCTCTCTCTCTCTCTTTCCATGGCTTCTTCCTCTATCCTTATTATTCTTCCTCAACCCTGCAGTTACTCTTCCCCCTTCAATCTAATTTTCCCCTCCAAAAAGAAGAAGAAAAAAAAACAAAAAAAGATTGTCCCTTTCTTTCAATCCTGATTTCTTCGGCCGTGATTCTTCTTCTTCAATTTCTGTGTTGAATTCAGGGGGTGATGGAGGCTAATCAATCAGTTACATTCTACGATTTTCTTGATCGGATGCGAAATCCTGCTTCTCTTGATCTTGTTCGATCCATCAAGAGGTACTTCTTTTCCCCCTTTTTCTCTTGTTTCGATTTCTCATCCTCTTTTCTTTTTTTGTTCTTGGTTTGTCTGTTTTCTCTCAATTCAGTTTCTCTTCTGTTTAACCTAGTTTCCATGGCGGAAACCATGGCACCATGCTGTTTGTAGTCGACCCAATTCGATTTCCTACCTCTAGTTTTGGTTATGCTGTAGCTTACTTCAATGATGCTGCGATAGATCCAAATCTCTAGCCTTTTGGATTAAAATTTTGTGATATATAAAGTTATTCAGTCTAGAAATTGTGATAATTTTTGTTTTAGCCTTGGAGATACTACTGAGTTTTTAATTTGATCTGCTGCAATGTTGAACAGTTATTCAAGAGAAAATTTTCAGCTATTTTGCATCATTAGTGAAACAAGAAGAAAAGAGTCAATAATAATCTTCTTGGTTCCAACTGTCTTGATTCCTTACTGCACTATTTAGCTTATTAATGGAATTTTCGATGCAATTTCGGTATGCTAATTAAGCTCAAGTAAGATACCTAGCAGACTAAAAGTTTCTTTTGCCACTTTAGTTTCTATTGTCTTGTGCATATAACCCTTATAAGGCAAGTATCCCGCCTGTTAACTGATCATTTTTGTAAATTTATTTTCTTTTGTTATGTTTCTATACATTTATCTAATAAAGGTTTATGCATGCTTGAATTTTTCTAGTAGGTTCTTTATTCGGTTGCGATTCAGTTCTTAACGCAGAATAAATTTTCTTTCAGTTTCATTGTGTCATTTTCTTTCTATCCCGCAAACCCTGAGAATGATGGAAAGAAGGTACAAGAGTTCTTTTTGACAATGGAAACTGCTATAAGGGATCATCCATTATGGGCAGGTGCCACAGATGAAGAAATTGACAGTGCAATGGAGGTGAATGTTTTATATTTACAAGTGGTTCCGCTTGTAGGTTGTTGCTTTGATTCAGTTGCTCTTCCGCAGCGAGAGGTTGAGATGCATGTTGGTTAGATATAGGGGTAAACAGATACTCCGCTGTTTGGAAGGAGAAGAATGTTCTAATTAAAGAAAAGAGAACAATCGGACGTACTAGGATGTACTAGTTCTAATTAATAATACATTTTGCTATTTGATTGGTCAAAATATCTTCCCCTCCCATCCCCTCCATTCCCCTCGAACCAAACATACAATAAAAGAGAATGATAGGATGTACTAGTCTTCGGAAACAAAATCAAGTTTAACCATTTTGTGTATTTGAGTCCTTAGCTTAATTAGTAAAATGCTTTTTTTTTTATTATTATTGTAGTGCAAAACCCTCAATAATATGAAAAAGTGGTTTAAAAATTTCATATGAAATTGTGTAGATGGTAACTAGTATTGCATTTTGTTCGAAAAAATGATAATTTTTGGTCGGCAGTTAGCACGACTGGGCTTTTAAGAAACAAAGCAATCATACAGAAAGCCAGTCAATTTTTCATTTATTATAGAAGTGGAAGCTAAACTGATCTCTCTTGCTTTCTGTGTTTGTGTCAGTTTCAATAACTGATGTGTTTCAATTACTTGTCCTATCCTATTTTTTTGCAAGTGAAGGGATGTAACTTGGAAGAGTTCCCCATTTTACTAATTAAAATTCAATCTGGATCTTATCTCATTTCAGTTAATTGCAATACATTTCTTGCTGTGCAACATATGGCTTCTGAAACACAGCTGGTTTGAGTGGTATAAAGTAGTTCATCAACTGACTCATTTGTGCTATGTACTGCAGGGTTTGGAGAAATATGTCATGACAAAACTGTTCTCTAGGACGTTTGCTTCCTTGCCAGAGGATGTCAAGTTTGACAGGGAAATCTCAGAGAAGATATGTTTGCTGCAAGCCTTCTTGAGGCCTGAGCATTTGGATATACCAGTAGCGCTTCAAAATGAAACATCGTGGCTGGTATGCCTGATGACCTGATCTATGATTTGGTGTTTCTTTTCTTTTTTTTTTTTTTTTTTCAACGTTTAATTAACTAATGCTCATGACTGATGAAACTTCGAGTTTTGTTTGAATGACTGAGCATTTTCTTTTTGTTAACTATATGGGTTAAATGTTGATATCTCTTCCTCTTATGGAGTACTTATTTTTCTCTTTTCTTTCCCAGCTTGCAGAGAAAGAACTGCAGAAGATTAATGCTTTCAAAGCTCCTCGTGAGAAGCTCCTGTGTATTATTAATTGTTGTAAGGTCATTAACAATTTGCTGCTCAATGCATCGATGTCAGGGAATCATGTACCAGGAGGAGCTGATGATTTTCTTCCTGTTATTATATATGTTACGATCAAGGCAAGCTCTCCTTGGTAATAAGCCTTTCTATCAATCATCATTTTCTTGATAGAACTTAGTATCTTGCAATTTTTATCGCAACCGTTACAAACTATGATCTATGCTAGGTGATGTTTTGTTGTTATTGTTAAGGCATCTAACCTAAAACCAGTTAGTGGTAGCAGGAGAGGCCCAATTCTTGAATATAATTCATCCAAATGAATGCCAAACCATACCATGTGGGGGTTATCTTACTACTTAACCTTCCCCAAATGTGTGGATCCAATAGAATATTTGAAATAAAGCAGAAGGTGAACTATGAAAAATAGGCTGATAAACAAGAAGCAGAAAATCAGAAGTAGGCAGCACACAACTTAGGCTTTGATACCTTAGGATATCCACTCAAAAACTAATTGTTGACTAGTAGAGAGACCCAACTTGGACATGAGACCATAATAAACTGCTAACAGGAATTTGGTTTAATGCCACTACTAGGAGTTAGAATGCTGGTTTTCTTTCCTGAAAACTATGAAAAATTTATAGATTGACTTTCAATATTTCTTCTGTTTCAAGATCCATGTTTTCTAATTGAAAAACCTTCATTGTTTAACCTTTTAAGTTCTAAAGAAAATAAGAGATCAAATAATTTTTCTCATTCTCAATTAAAAGTTTTTAGACTAGTAGGTTCATACGATAAATTAGTGGCATGGTTTATTATTTCTATTGTCTGTTGTGCTTATCTTTCTTGACCTTATATTTGCTTGGGCCCTGCTTCATCAATTTTTCTAATCTTGATATTTTTAGTGGAATGGCTTGTCTTCACATTTGAATGAGCTCTTGTTGATGCAGTCTTTAAGGTCAAATGATAAAGCTTTTTTGCCAATGTTGTAACTCGAGTAATTTCTTGTTTATAGGAAGTGTTGATTATAGATTGTTCTGTTGCTTCAAATCAATATTAATTCTAATTAACATGAACCAACTTTAACAATATGATGGACAGGCTAATCCTCCACAGTTGCATTCCAATCTCAAATTCATCCAGTTGTACCGGAGGCAGGCAAAACTTATCTCAGAAGCTGCTTATTATCTCACGAATGTTGTTTCAGCCAAGTCCTTTATTGTGGACTTAAACGCTAAATCTCTTTCTATTGAAGAAATTGAGTTTGAGGAGAGTATGCAAGCAGCACGATTGGCAAACAAAGCAACTCTAGTGGAAAACCCGCCCACCACATTTAATACAGAGGTGTTTCGAACAGATCCTGGTCCATCAAAATTCCTTGATGAGAAAGAGACAAAGCTAAAGGGTTAGTTTCACATCTTAATTCTTATTGTTTTGCATTGGTTGTCTGCCTCAAATGCAATAATTGTTGAACTAGAGAGGAATGATGTTGAATCAGGTGGGTCAAAATATCCTTATATGGATGCTGAGGCTGGTGAACTGACAGTTGGAGATGTAGAAAAATTGCTGAGTTTGTACAAGGACGTTGTTACAAGGTACACTACCTTGTGCAGCAAGGTTAGACACCTTTCTATTTCCAAGACGGATTGCCCAGCTACTTCAGAAGGAACCAGTTCTTTGGCAACAGAGCTTGAAGAAACATGCTTAGACGCTAATGGCAAAAAAGAATGAAAAGGTAATTAAATTTGTACAAGCTACACTTCCACTTTGCAATACTTTCAATATAACTTTGATCGAGCATAAATACATTAGATGTTCATAGTTTGAATGCATGGATGAGTCATTCACTCCCAAAAACTCAAAATGCCATCTATGAATATCCAACCCTGCTTTCAAATAAAACAAAGAAGAGAAAAAAAAGAGAGAGAATGAGGATATCCACCTTAGTTTAATCGCATATTTACAAATGATATATACACTTAGGGTACACCAAATGTTACACTCATCCTAGCATTAGCTCCATTATCATCTTTCACCAATACTTTGGGAAAACCTTTTAGCTTCCTTCCTAAAAATTTGGAATGCTTAGAGATTAGCTGTTGAATGAGTTGCTGCATTTCTTGCATATGAACTTTGCAGGAATAGCATCAGAATTATCAATTCCAGCACACCTTGTGTGCTGCCAAACACTGCAATCATCGCATGCTAACATTCTTTCACCATCATCATCCTTTGTCCCACAAGTGCAGTCAACTGTCCAATTTTCTGTACCCCTCTCCCTTCGAAATCGGTTGAGCCCATATTTTCCTGCACATCTACCTCGAACTTTAACTAGGCCACTTGTGCCAACCAACAACTTCAAAGTAATGTTATCCTCTATGGGGCCATAGCCTAGTAGGTCCTCAACTTGAAGCCTCTTAAACATGGCATACACTTCTTCAAAAGCTTTTGTAGCTTCATTTTTAAGGTCAGCCACAGTAGCAGCCACAGTAGCATTCAGGGGTAGAACAATTAGCTCTGGAGGAAGGATTGGATCATCTTTAGATTGGTCTGCTAGCTCCAAATGACACCATAGGTAAATAGTTGAGGTATCATCAGCATGTGGTTTGTAGTCTTTTACAAAATGTTTGCAGTCAAGAAGTTTAGTTGCTGAGTCAATTACACAATCCCTTGTTGCTTGAGGTCTATAATCCATCATGCTTTTAGGGTTGAGCAAGACATCAAACAAATACTTCAGATCTCCTTTAAGGTGCTCTTCTGAAGGGAAATTGCAGTGCAGGCTAGATTGACAGCTCGTGAAATTAAGAGGCTGAAGCCTGTTGATGTCATTCAAAGAAAATAAAGCATGTATTAGTGGCAAAGGTTCAACAAATCTTTTTTTTTTTTTTAAAGGATAAAATAGATGGGAGTGAAAGTGATCCATCAATGATGTTTGGCTCACCTGAACTCAAAATCACTAGAGGTTGGATTGCATTGAGCTTCAACCACCATGCCATTAGCTGCTAATTTTCCCCCCAAGTGCTTGAGGCAATAATCTAGGAGCTCTAGAGAGGCAGTCTTGCACATAACACCCTTAAGTGTGCGCCTAGTTACCCAGCTGGATTGATCAGCTGCCATTAATACTTTGATCATGGCTTGTTGCACACGTTCTACATCATTTCTTGTCCATGCACACAATACATTTGAAGGAGAAGGGTTGGACTTTTTAGATGTTTTAGTGATCAACTTTTTGTGGCTTTCATGAATCAGCCTTAGGAGAAATGAAAATAGATCCTTCAGCGTCAAAAGTTCTGAACCTGATAAAGTCTGATAGAAGGTAATGATCTTCTGCAGGCGTGTTTGGGGCTTCCGCCCCTGGTACAGAAGTGGGGACAAGGGCATGCTTGACAGGGCATGCTCTGCTCTCTTGTAGGCATCCACAGTAAGACCATAGCTCCCAAATCCAAATTCATATCCCCAATTTCCATACCATGAACTACCTTTGGTGATTGCATGAAGTAACCTGTATTCCATCCCATATTTCTTGGAGACATCCATCACAGAGACTTTTCTGTTCAATGTCATGAAAAGAAGTGTTTTAGAACATTCTTCAATTCTTAATTTACTCATTAATCCTTTATTCGAAAGAAATTTCAGGATGTGGGAGTTAACCATGATAATGTTATTTCATGTTTTCAGTCACAGGTCTAGAAAGGCACTATATTGACAGAATCATGGAGACGGGCCACCATAGTTCATGTAGCCTTTAGCCATATTAAGGTCAAGGAACTCAAAAAATAAAATAAAAGCCATGTAAAAGTATAGTCTACTTCTCCACAACATTTTTGTTAGGGTAGTTATATATCAATCAATGCAAGGGGAAGGAGAGATTTTTCAAGTTCAACACAATTCTGCAGTCTAGCATATGTTGATCTATTAATTTCCAGTCAACTGCTGCAGTTTTACATGATAAGATCCATTAATCATCAAATCTAGAGGGGTCAGGAGTCCAGTCTGAGTTCATACAATGGCTTACTGGACGGGTATTTCTCACAGAAAGCTTTAGAAGCTGTGGGGAAAAGGGCCAATACTGGAACTAATATTAGTTTGCCAGGAGACCCCCATCCTTAATGTTGGGTGAAAATATTTTATATGTGAGGTTTGAAGAAAAAAAAAAAGAAATATATTCCATAACAATAATACCAAAGAGAATGGAATCAAGCCAATGCAAGTCTTTGTCTACTAGAATCCAACTGAAAATAATGCCAAAACAATAATCAATAGGTCCGGACCTGACAGAGAGAGCCGCACACAACCTATCCCAGAAGTTCATGATGTCACTCCCAGAGAGAACATTTGATCCACCTTCTCTTCCATTAACGGTAAGAAGATGCCCATAGCCATTCGAGTGAACCACACCATGCAGCATATGAGTATTGTCCTCAAACTGAGAGTACACCCAGTCTTCAAAATCATCCGTAGCAATCAACTGGTTACACCACTTGCACCTACCACCACCACCAATATCATGTCCAATATCAACATCGGATTATAAAACTCAACTTCATTTTTTCCAATTCCCAAAGAGAAGAAGCCTCACCTTGAATCCGAAAATTGCAGGGGATTACCACAACTCGAGCAAGACTTGTAGTACCCATCCATACCTCCGCCATTTTCAGACCTTATTATGAAATGATATCGCTTTCTGCACACTGGATTACCACTCCAACCTTTTCAATCCAAAAAAAAAAAAAAAAATTAGTAATTTAAAGCAGGAATAAGACCATGACTCAGTAAGTTTACTCAGCTTGCCCAATAGAAGTTTCTAATGTTCTAGTAGATTCTTCCCTTCATCCACCATTTCCGAGCTCATGTTCTTCAGCTAACTCCTTTGTTTTTCTTAATTAAGAATAATAGGGAGCTTTTAAGCCGTATTTGCACTGTTTTTTCCTTCTTTTTTTCCTTTATGGTTCGATTATTAAGGCACGTCATACTGTCTTGCTTAAAAAGTACGCAATCCGACTCGGGGAGTCTGACTCACCGACGACTCGGCACTGGTCACAGTAGACAGATCTGGTGGATCTGGTCACGTCCTCCTCGACGACATCGAGCGCCACCACGACAGATGCCAGATCGGGTTCGTCGGGCATCGGATCGCCGACTCTGAGCAGGATCTGCCACGTCATGAGACAGGGCAGCACCGGCGGCGAGAACGCCACCGTGGGCCTAGCGTTGCTCAACAGGAAGCTCCCCACGGCCAGTCGAAACGGCTTTACGGAACCAACGGCAGGAGGAAAAGCGATGAAATCGGGGAGGTCGGCGGTCACCCTGGCGCTCCTACGAGCCCTCTTCAACGGCCGGCTATTGGTCCTGTTCTCAACCATTGTTCTCTGGAACGGCGGCGGCGGCGCTTCGATTTTGTTTTAGGAGGGTTTTCTCTCGCGTTACTGCTACTGCTCAGTATCACCTACAAAACGAAGGCGGCTTAGGGTTTCGTCTCTGGCCTATTATTATTATTATTATTATTATATAGTATAGTACATGTGGTCTTCGGTCTAAGGCGGTTCCCGGGTTTCCCATTATTATTATTATATTATTATATTTTTTTTTTCTTGGATTCCATTTCCTTTTATAATTAGTTTTTAAGTAAATAAAATTAATTTATTTTTTTAACAATAAAACTATATAGTATAGTACATGTGGTCTTCGGTCTAAGGCGGTTCCCGGGTTTCCCATTATTATTATTATATTATTATATCTTTTTTTTCTTGGATTCCATTTCCTTTTATAATTAGTTTTTAAGTAAATAAAATTAATTTATTTTTTTAACAATAAAACTTTTTTTTAGACAAATAAGCCTTAATCGCTAAGAATAAAATATATCGGTTCTGTTTTTTCCTGTTTTAGCCTTTAGGCCATTTCTTTTTTATTTTAAATATTAAAATAATTATCAATAATTTGTTAATTTGAA